CAACAGCCGGCCGGCCCGCCAGGTGCGCCGCCTGGAGTTCAACCAGGCCATGGATGACTTCAAGACCATGTTCCCCAACATGGATTACGACATCATCGAATGCGTGCTGCGCGCCAACAGCGGTGCTGTGGACGCCACCATCGACCAGCTGCTGCAGATGAACCTGGAGGGCGGTGGCGGCGGCGGCGGCGGCGGTGTCTATGAGGACAGCTCCGACTCGGAGGACAGCATCCCTCCGGAGGTAGGGGCGCAGCCCAGGTAATTCCAACCACCGTTGGAACCTCTAAGAAGACCTGGGTTACTCCGCTGTCTGGGTTCTAATTAGCAAGCAGCCTTACTTCCCCTAGGGAAAAGTACCATCCGTCGTCAGTGACCTTATTTTATGGGCAGAAATCATGCAGTCATTCAACAAACACTGAGCACCCACTCAGTGGTGTGTGAGACCTGGCACTAGACCCTGAGTCAGGAGGCATCACAATCAAGGTGCTTGTTACAAATGCAGGTGCCTGGGCCCTACCCCAACATACTGAACTCCACTTCCAGGCCTAGAATTCGCTAGTGACCAAGTTAGACCAGATTTCTGCCGTCCTGGAGCTCAGAGTCCAGTGTGGACTAGAAGCGGGAGTCCCGTACTGACGGCCAGAGTGGTAAGTGCTCAATGGAGACGTGGAAGCAGCAGAAAGGGGTGGCTTCCCAGAGGAAGCGATGGCTAAGCCCAAACCCTAAGCGGAGACCCAAAGGAAGAGTGAAGCCGGGGGAAGGGTGTATAGGCAAAGGGAACAGCTTGTGCAGAGGCTGGGAGGTGAAATAGTGTCTGACTGGCTAGGGAACTGGCAGCAGGACCATCTGTCAGGGTCCTAGAGTGAGAGGAGATCAGTGAGGTTGACAAAGCCCTGATGCTGAGAAAAAAGAGTGTGGCTGTATCCTGGGAGCATAGCCATGGAAAGGTAGTGAGGAATCAGACTTGCCAGTTAAATCCCTCTGACTGTGGCCTGATGGAAGCAGTAGTGAGCCATAGCCAAGCAGTCTCTCCAGGGAAGTGACTGGAGAGAGGGGACCTGCGTACTGCATCAGTACCCATCTGCTGGAGGTTGTGAGTCCCTCCCAGTCCCACCCGAGTTCAGTGGACATCTGGCCTCCTAGTATCAGCAGAGCCTGAGCTGCTTGGTGCAGAAGGGTGAGGCACACAGAGCCTGTTAATCAGAGGGGTGCTGTCCACAGGGCCATCTGGGACTTGCAGCCATGGACAAGACCAGGACCCAGCAGGTGGGATTTAACTCCACTCTTTATTGAGTCCCGACTCATGCCAGGCATCGTCCTAAGTGCTTTAGATGTATCATCTCTACTTTTTTTGGGGGGGTGGCGGGAGACAGAGTCTTGCTCTGTCACCCAGGCTGGAGTGCAATGGTGCGATCTCAGCTCACTGCAACCTCCACCTCCCAGGTTCAAGCGATTCTCCTGCCTCAGCCTCCCGAGTAGCTGGGACTACAGGCATGCGCCACCACACTCAGCTAATTTTGTAGTTTTAGTAGAGACAGGGTTTCACCATGTTGGCCAGGCTGGTCTTGAACTCCTGACCTCAGGTGATCTGCCCGCCTCGGCCTCCCAACGTGTTGGAATTACAGGCATGAGCCGCCGCACCCGTCCCGATGTGTCATCTCTTCTAATCCTCACAAACTTTGTGCTGTGGTGTTATTATTACCCTCGTCCCTGTTCTCCATCAGTCATCCTGCAAGGCGAAGTCTCCTTGCTTTTCCTCCTTAGTGTGTGCTGCTGAGACTTCTCCTGGGGGTGGAGAAGCTCTGTTGGCAAAGACATCTGGCTTATCCCTGTGTCATCTGCAGCACCCAGGACAATCCAGGCACATAGCAAGCACTTGGGGAGTGTTTGTTGAATGAATAAATGCTGCTGCTGTCTTTGTACAGTTTTCTATTGTCTCTCTCCTTGGGAGACCACTCCTTCGATCTACTTGGAGTAGGTGGTGGAAGGAGTATTGGAAAATATGGATCCTCTTTGTAGAAAGAAGGAGAGAGAGAGTGAGAGTGTGCGTGTGTATGTGTGTTGTCTGCAGATACAATTGACCATTGAACAATGCAGCTGTTAGGGGCAATGAATCCCCCCATGCAGTCAAAAATTCACTTTTTAATATAACTTTTGATTTCCCCAGAAATTGACTACTAATAGCCTATTGTTGACCTCAAGTCTTACTGTTAACAGAAACAGTTGATTAACATATATTTTGTATGTCATATGTATCATATACTGTATTCCTACAATAAAGTAAGCTAGAGAAAAGAAAATGTTAAGAAAATCATAAGCAAGACAAAATATATTTTCTATTCATTAAGTAGAAGTAGATCATCGTAAAGGGCTTCATCCTCATCGTCTCACATTGAGTGGGCTGAGGAGGAGTGAGAGGAGAGGAGGGGTTGGTCCTGCTGTCTCAGGGGTGGTGGAGGTGGAAGAAAATCTGCCTGTAAGTGCACCCATGCAGTTCAAACTCATGTTATTCGAGAGTCGACTGTATACGCTTTAAGTGTGAACTGGAAAGAAAGCTCTCTGCAAGCTCTGACCCTTTCTGCAGTCTGATTTGCCCTGACAGTCTGGCAGGTAGGGTAGTATTTCCTCCTTTGTCCAAGGCCCCCACAGCCCTATAAACCTCTGCAAGGCTTCACCACCCCCTAAGTAGGCCCTTGCTGTATGTGCACTTCTGTTTTTCTAAGAATCTTGCTTTCCAAATTGAGCCCCCTCCCCTCCCTTGGCAGTCTCCCCAACCCCCCACCTTTGGAACTCTGCCTGGGCCCATAGGCAGGCAGCTCCTGAGCCAGCGGAAAGTGCTTCGGAAAATTTATGAGCCACAGCTGGAATGACAATAACTGCTGAATGGAAAAAAAAAACCTTTCTGGGGGCTGATGGATGGTGGGCTGGCCCGAGGGGTATCCTTGCCATGGAGAAATATCTCCTGTCAGATAAATGGCCTACACCCTGCCCCCCTGGAGCACCTGGCAGGCATCCATCACCCACAATGAGTTAAGCTAGGAGGCTGAAAAGCCCAAAACTTCAGCACCTTTAGAGCCAGAAGAACAACCTCTTTGTGGCTGGTGGCAGTGGGAGGGAGAGGCCAGGGAGACCAGCAGCGCTGCTGGGGTTACTCTCCTTGGGACTCAAGCCCTGCATTCTGGAGCTTGCCTGGCCGGCCATCTGCCTTCTCTGTGTTTCCCAAGTCCTCTCCAGGAGGCTCTGATGAACGTCTGTCTGGGCTTGCTGCCCTGGGAGGCTGCACGGAGGAGCTGTGTTGGGGGGCCTCCTGGTGTGGCTGGGGAGGCCTGATTGCCCTGAGTCTAGGGGGCTGACTGCTGCTGGCCACGGTCAGAGGAAACCCCAAGCAGCTTCCTTTAGGGGACAGTTTCTACTAAGCTCTCCTCCCCTCCTCAGCCACCTCACTCTGACCCACATCAGTGGGAACAGTCCAGGCCAGCCACCCAGACCCACCACTGCTAGCCTCAGGCCGCAGCCCAGAGCCCTATCCCTCAGAGCAGAGGGGTCTGGGAAACAGGGTGTCGGGGCTGGGGGACAGCAGCAGCAAGTTCTCTGAATGAGCCAGGTACTTGCGGGGCCACTGTCCTGTGCCAGGCACCAAAGATTCGCCAGGGAACAGGAGCAGCGCTTACAGTGTTCTCTTTTTTCCTTTCTTGTGGAAATTTAGGGTAAGCAGAGCAGTGGCCTGCCAAGTGCTACATTCTTCCTTTCCTGCAAAAGCATCTGTTTAAATACTTTTGGCCTCAAAGGAAAGAACGTTAGTGCATTCCAGGGCGCGAGGCCTCCTTGGGTTGAGCTAGCTGTGTATGCGCAGAGCACTGCAGAGAGCACGTGTGCATGTGTGTGCATGTGCGTGTGTGTGGGTATGTGTGTGTAGGTGTGCTCACACGCACAGGCTCACCTCCCTACCCACCAGGTGCCCCTGGCTGGTCTTAGAGCAGAGATGTACCAGTGCAGCCTGGCCCAGCCCAGGCTTATACAGGCAGCATGATTATGGTGACTTCTGCAAACTCACTTGAGGTCTGGGGGCTCTGGGGCACCTGAGAGTCACAGCCTCTCTGAGCTCCTCCCATGTTCTTTGATCTTGGAGGAGATGGGAACAGAGTTGTGGGGAGTGAGCGGGAGGTGAAGGTGTAGGCCAGGTTGGGCTGGGTGGTGAAGGATCTCCCAGTCAGGGGCCGCCTCCTGTGGTAGATTACTTGAGGTCAGGAGTTCAAGACCAGCCTGGTCAACATGGTGAAACCCCACCTCTACTGAAAATACAAAGATTAGCCAGGGGTGATGGTGCACGCCTGTAATTCCATCTACTTGGGAGGCTGAGGCAGGAGAACATATACGTTGATGTCTGTGGAGTGTGCCAGAACTGGAGGGTCAGAGGTAGCCATGTGTTTAGCTGCCCCAAACTCCTCTCTGGGCCTCTGGGGAAGAATCTAAGTTGGTCAGTGGAGCAGGACCCCGGACTTTGCCCAGTCCTTGGCCTCTCCCTGGCCCTCTTCTTGGCTCCTGGAGAAGACAAGAGCTTGGGAAGGAGAGCAGGCATCCCAGGCACTCCCCTTGCTACTCTCCGCCCTGGGAGTCCAACCTGAGTGTGCAGCCAGTGTGCCTGAGGGAGGGATCCTTGTGGTCCAAGTTGAAGACGCTGTTCTAAAAAGCATGTGGCTTTTGCCATGTCACTTAGCCTAGGCCTGAGTTTCCTTCTGTGTCAAATGGGGTAATGAGCCATATCCTACAGCACCAGGTTGTTCGAGGTTAAGGTGACATCAGAGACGTGGAGGTACTTTGAGAGAGGGTATGAATGATGTTATCATCAAAGAATAGCGTGGGTACAGGAGCACATGAGTCACACGCGTGCAGCTCAGTGGAGTTTCACAGCGTGAATAAAACACATTATCAGCACCAGCTCAAGAGCCATCATCCCCAGAACCTGGAGTGCCCCTGGTGTCCATTCCCGCCCTTACCCGCCCCACAGAGGGCACATCGCCCTGACCCTTACCACTGTGTGTTTGTTTCTGCCTGTGTTTGAACTGCACATGGAGGGAGAATGCTGCTGTGAACATTCTTTTGGGGA